CAAAAGATAAAAGCCCCTGCCTCCTGGGGTCTGCACTCTGGTGGGCAGACCCACGATGAACCAAGCACAGCGAGGGCTGTGGTCCGTGGGACAGTGGTGCGTCTGGGAGAAGGGGCAGGTGAGGTGGGGGGCATGCGAGGTCCTGCAGTTTTAAATAGGGGGTCAGGCAGGGACTCGGAAAGAAGGTGGCATTGCACACAGACCTGAGGGAGGTGAGGCAGGGAGCCATGCTGGGGGAAGAATGTTCCAGAAGGAAGACATGGCAAGTGCAAAGGCCCTGAGACGGAGCTGTCTGCGAGGGGAGCCAGGGCAGGCTCCTGGCAGGCACCAACGTCAGGAACAGACGACAGCGGGGGTGGGGCATGGCAGGGAGGACAGTCGGGCTGTCCCAGGGTGGCGAGAGGCGGGCAGCTTCTGGAAGTGTTTTGAAGCAGGGCCAACGGGGTTTCCTGATTGGTTGGCTGTGGGGTGGAGAAGGGGGAAGTGAAGGAGAAATCTCAGGTTTGGGCCTGAGCAGCTGGGACGAGGGACTGTCACTAAGGTGGGCAAGCTGTGGGTGCAGCGGGCCTGGGGAGCGCTCAGCAAGTCTGCCGGGCTGTGCTCTGTGGGTTTGGGGTGCCCGACCGACGTCCATGTGGAGCCCTCGAGTGGGCGCGTCTGAGTCTGGAGTCCTGGCAGCTGTCCGGAACCTAGATTCTAGATGATACTGCAGCTGTAAGACCGGGCAAGGTGACCTAGGGAGTGAGTGCTCGTTGGCCACAAGTGCCTCCTACGTACCAATTCTAGAGAAGCCCCAGCTGTGGTCTGGTGCCTGCCCCCGGGCTTATCATCGTTTGCAGAGACAGATCCTGCCTCGGTGCGCAGCTAGAAACCTCGAGATGGAACGAAATGCGATGTTTAGTTAAAAGGTGGAGACTGAGGGCAGAGGGGGCTGGAGTGCTCAGAGTGGGCCTCGCGAGAGTGGGGGCTTGTCTTGGGCCAGGCCAGGCGGAGGGGAAGGGTGTTCCAGGCAGGAGGAACAGAGTGGGAAAGGTACAGAGGCACGAGTGAGGTGGGGAGTGGCTGGGCATGACTGTGGTGAGAGGATAAGGTGGTAGGAAGAGCCTGGGTATTGGGTTCATGCCCCAGCTCAGCACTCGGTGACCTTGGGCAGTTACTTAACCTTGCCGAGCCTCACCTGCAAAATAGCGTGGATGTCCCTCCTCCTTCGTGGGGCTGCCACGGGAGTGTGTTAGAGTCTAATCATCAGATCAGAGTGTGACATGCTCGGGCTGGCACGTGGCACATAGTAGAACCTGGACACACGCCCACTCCCTGTACAGCCTGGGGAGGCTCTCCAGCCACGCCTCAGTGGGCCTCTTCCTGGTGGCCCAGTAAAGAGAACTCTGCGACAGCCACCGCAGGCAACACTGGGCCTGCCTTGATGCCAGGCACACCGGAGGTTACAGAGGCCTCAAGTGCCCAGAGCCCTCGCTGAGCGTCGTGGCCCCTTCTATTTTAGGGCTCGGTCCAGTGGACGAGGCAGCCTCATCCGGCTCCACCGCAGCTAATGACAGCCCTGCCTGCAGGCGGTTTAAAAACAGCTCTGCTATTTTTATCGACAGGAGGCGGCCAAGCCGTCCTCCTGCCCAGGCAGTGCTAACATGGGAGGGTTTTAAGAAAACCAAGGCCTTGATAGGAAGATGGGCCATTGTCTCAAATCACAGATGTGCGATCTGCAGGGTGTGCCCACAGAGCCTTCTGGGGGGGTCAGACATCACCTTCACGCAGTGGTCTGGATTTAGAGATAATTCCACCCCTGCCAGCCGGGCTCGGAAGGAATCACTGCACCTCTCCACCCCGGAGAATGTTCCTCAGACCTAATTCTTGCCTGTGTCTCTCTGTCCCAACGGGAGTGGGTCACAGAGGGGAGGGTGCTGATGTGGCCAAGTCCAGGGCTGAAGCCTGTCCACGCCCACAGGACATTGCCTCGAGCGCTTCAATGGAAAGTAGTTTAAAATGGCCCTTGCCCAGTGGAGCCCTGGGCGATTTCCTTTCCTTCTTTCTAAGGACCAGTTTGTAAATCGGCTGGAGGCTTTGGTTGGAGGCGGGGAAGGATGGCAATGGCTGAGGGATGGGGTGGTGAACGCAGGGCGGCGTGGACTGTCTGTCCTTGGAAATAGGCGGACTCGTGTTGTATTGGCCATGGTTCGTATTTATTAATAGGTAAAACTTGTTCGTTTGGTTTTTTTGCCTTCGCTTTTTAAGCAAAATTGATTTTTTTTCTTGAGCACAAGCTTAGTTAATGCTTAAAACAGCAGGCAGCCCACCTGCACCTGCCCGGGCGTTCTCCTGCCGCAACACGGGGCCGTTCCCAACCTCGCACCCACCAGGAGCCTTCACTGGCCTCCTTGCAGGTCAGGTCTTGGCTTGGCCCCCTCCGGCCCCCCCATCGCCCCTCCCCTGCTGCCACAAGCTCCTCCCCCTCTGTCTGCCAGGGCTGGGGGTGCCCTGGGGACACAGCTCATTCTTTGGCTCCTTCCTGCCTTCCGCTTGCCCTCCCACCCTCAGGCCACCTGCCCGTTCCCAGCCCACCTCACATGGCACCGCCTCTCTCAGGCCTCCCTGGTCCAGTTACTTGCCCTTCCTCCACCCCCAAATGCGGCCACTCTGGTTGCTTCCAGACGATCTTCCGCATCCCACTCCTGACCCCCAGCATCTTGGAGGCAGGGCCTGCACGGGGTTCATCTTTGCATCCCCAGTGCATGGCTTGGTGACAGGCATGGTGTGGCTGTCTCCTCGCCGTTCGATGAGTGAACGGATCGATGTGGCCCTTCACGGTTTGCAGGTGCCTTCTACAGCTTACTTGGCTGAGAAATCCCACCTCCATAGACTTGGGGGCTGACAGTTTTAACAGCAGAACCAGGACCAGAATCCAGCTCGGACTCTGTCTCCAGGGAGTCAGAGCTCTGGCCTTGGCCCCCTCGCCCCTCCCGGCACAGCCTGCTGTCCACCTTCCACCCCTGCCCCCGTCTCCAAGGTCCCCTTGCAAGCTACCCTCCACTCTGAGACCCCGGGGGCAAAGACAGCAGAGGCTCTGAAGGCAGGAGTGGGAGGTCAGGACCACAGGCCCTGTGTAGGCCACTCCAGCTCCGATTCTTGGGGCTGTGGCTGTGCCGTGTCTGGGGCGGGGGGCCCACCCCAGGGCCTCCCCACAGCAGCTGAGGGGGAGACGCACATAGACCAGCATTGTGTGCCTGGAGGGAAGGCTCCCAGCTGTGGTCCAGCTGTTGGGAGACCAGCCCTTCCTGGCTCCCCAAGGCGTGGGGCTTGCTGTGCCCTCCCACGGATGTCCGTCGCGCCTGAGTTGTCCCAGTGGCACATCCTCTTCTGGGAGCAGACAGAGCTGCCATGGGCCTGGGCAGAGGCCTGGGGGGTGGGATGAGAAGGGGGTGGGTGTGAGGTGAGCTGTGGCCTTCACTCTCCCGGGTTCCCCCTCCGCGGGCTGCAGTGGTGGGCGCTGGGTGGACGGCGCATCCATGGTGGGTAGAACAGCAAAGCTGGGCGTGGTGGCAGAGTGCCCTGCAGGAGATCCTGGCTCTGTGCATCCTGGGCCTGTGCCTGGCCTGACCCCCTGGACCCCACACTGAGTAGAGCCTTGAAAGGATCCTCTTTAAGTCTCCTTTCTACAGAGTGTGAATCTCCCATGAGTCTTCTGCTAACAGGTCACTCTCACCCCCAAATCTTCAATAGCTCCCCAGGGCTAAAGCCATGGTGCTCAACCCTGGATGCTGAGGGTCACCCAGAGAGCTTTTAACAACCCCCACGCTCAGCCCCACCCATCCTGGCAAGATTCTCATTTGATTGGTCTGGGCATCTGCATTTTAAAGTTCCTCGTGGTTCTTGTGGACAGCAAGATTGTGAACCACTGACCTGGAGGATAAACTTCCTGGCACAGGCAGGTTCCATAGTTGGGTCCCAGCTTAGTCTCCCTTCCTGTCCCTCGTCCTCCCTCCAGCCAGGCCAGCCCCTCCACAGCCCCCACACACTGGGCACCATCCTCACCCCTGTGTTGCCCCCACCAGGTAAATGGTCTTCACGGCCCAGCTGAACTCCGATGCCCTCGGGGAGATGTATCTTTAGTTGGCTTTGTGGCCATTGTCTCCCCAGCACGTGGCCTGGTGCTGATCCCCACGGCGGGTGCTGCCTGCTAAGACGATGATGCCCCAGACTCCCAGCTGCCCCCTGGCCCGGGGGCCTTTCTCGCCCTGCTGTCTGTCCCCAGCCTTGGAAAGGGCAAGGAATGGGGTCTGAGGCCATAAGCACACCCCTTCCACCTCTGATCCTGAACCTTCTGAGAAACAGGCAAGAAAGTCAGTTGGGGACCAGCTGGGCTCACAGGGCCAAGGTGGGGTTTCTCCCCTCACAGCTAGAGCTGAACTCGCCCACCTGCTGAGCCCAGGCAGAGGGAGGTGGGGAGGAGATCAGGGCTGAGAGCTTGACCGTGCTGCCCTGCTGCTACCAGCCCCTGCCAGGCACTGATCAGAGCACTTGGAGAGAGGGGAGCCAAAGTCTTTTCTCTAGTCCTGGGAGGATGGGGGCTGGGGTAAGAGACATCCCCTCTCGGGGCTGCCAGGAGTTGGCAGGAGGGACCCTCCCTAGTGGCTGGAGCTGGGCATTGGTCCCACCACCCAGGAGGGCCTCTGCACAGCTCGCGCACCATGGAGGGTGTCTGCACGGAGCCTCCCTGTGGACAGCCTGTTCTCGTCTGGCTGCCCATCAGGATGGGACAGCGGTTATGATCTCACAGTGAGGAAACGGAGGCCAGGCAGCCAGCCACGCCTCTCAGGTAGAAAGCAGGCTTCAGACTCTGGGCGCTGATGTCCTCCATTGTCTTCCCTGTGGGCTGGGCAGGGTGATGCCCTTGGCTCCGCTCAGGGCAGCAGGGTGTGTGGTGTGTGTGTTGGGGGGAAAAGAATCCCCTCTTCCCCCCACTGAGTCCACCCTGCCCTTTCCTCCAGGCAAAGGCCGCCAAAGAGGAGCAGGAAACGCGGAGGCTGCAGCTGCGGAGCCTGCAGTACCTGGAGCGCTACGTCTACCTGATTCTCTTCAACGCTTACCTCCACCTGGAGAAGGGCGACTCCTGGCAGAGGCCCTTCAGCACCTGGATGCGGGAGGTGAGAGGTGGGAGGCTCAGGCTGAGGGGGCCCACAGGGCGATGGGTCACACAGGTGGGGCTGGGTCATCCCCACCTGGTCCCTGTGCATCACCTGTGGGGACCCCGGTCACAGGCTCCCTGTTGAGTAGGAAGAGCTCTCATCTCCCTTTCTGCAGGAAGCTTCCACTGGGCCAAGATTTTGTCTCCTTCGACTCTGGGTCCCTAGCATGGTGTCTGTGCTTTGTCGGCAGTGGATAAGTTTGATGAGTGGACGAATGAATGAGGAGGGAGGGGACAGGTATGTGGGGGACAGAGTGGGGCAGTCTGCTGGGCTGGGACCCTGCTGCACAGACCACCACGGCCAACACTGTCTGGGTGCTGGCTCTGGGCCAGCCTGGGCACTTCATGCCCATTGCTATGTGCGGCCCTCGCCTACTTATGCCACGAGGGCCACAGGCAAGGCTGTGGTGGCCCTGCCCCTGCCTTCTTCCAGCTGTGACCTCGGACCAGTTAGCCACCCCCTCTAAACCTGCTGTCCTCGATACTAAAGTGCAAGTAATGTTAACACCGAGGGTACCAGCTCGGAAGGCTGTGGCGGGGATTTGATGTGATATGTGCAGTGCCATCTGCTGGGCCCCGTGCCAGGCAGGTCTGCGTTAAATAGTGTGACTGTTGCTGTCCCGTCTTGCAGAGGAGGTGACCGAGCTCAGAGAAGCTGGGTAACTTGCTCAAGGCTGGTGTTAGAGCTGTTGTTGAGGGTGGCCCAACATGGCCCTGGTGTTGGGGCCTTCCTGCTGGGGCCCATTGTCCCCGCTTATTCTGCACAGGGAGCCCTTTTGGTCTGAGTCTATGTCCCCCTGGGGCTCAGCATAGGGTGAATAACAGAGTAGAAGCTTCTAGAATGATTGCTGCGGATGTGGAGATGGAGTGCGGAATAGATAGATAAGGGATCGATCCCCCCAGAAAGGAAGCACACTCAGCTCAGGGGCATCAGCCCACCTTATTCTGACCACTGTCACCATCCACTTCCTAGATCCCTTTCTGCTTGGCCTCCCGGCTCTTCCTCCACTCGGCTGTTTTTAGAGGCAAAGCCTCAGCACCTCGAGGTCAGGGGAGAGGCCCCTTCCCTTCTCTCGAGGGGGCCCATCATTACCCCTCTGCCAGGAAGTGGGCCCCTCCTGACCTCACCAGTGGGTCTTAGCGGTTCCAACCTGGAGTGGAGTCTGGTGGCCCAGCCAGGTGGGCCTGGGAGGAGCACGGGGCTGGACAGGTGTGTAGGTGGACTCAGAGCTGCAAGGGGCAGGGTGCCCACTGCAGCGCCCCGTGGCGGGAAGGGAACTGCAGAGGACAAGCCTTGCGGGCAGGCCTCAGGACGTGAGGGTGGGCAAGTGTTTGGAATGCCCCCTGGTGCAGGCGGATGGGTGTTGAGTCAGGAGACCTGGGGGGGGCACACCAGGGCCATGTTGGGCCACCCTCTTGAGCAGGCCTAGGCTCAGCTTCCTCTTTGAGCCCCTGAGGAGGGGTGGAGGTGGGGGCTCAAGGATACCTCCTGCTTGGGTTCTCCTTGGAGAGTGGAAATGGGGGTGGGGTCGGGGGGGGCAGGGGCGGGAGGAAGCTTGATCCCCTCCCCAGCTGAATCTGGGGTGGGGGATGTCCTGGAAGGAGTGTGAGCTCCAGCCTGGGGGCCCTTAGCCCCTCCTGCGGATGAGTGGAGGGTGAGGGTTTCCCTGGGAACCAGAAGGGATGAACCCATCCCCTCAGTCTAGGTAGAGGCTGCATCCTCCCCATCCCCCAGGGTGGTGGGGGAGAGAAAGGGGCGGGTGGTCTGAGTCTGGTGCCAGGGCCTGGACCGCTGGGCAACAGGACCGAGTGTATGGGGAGGCCCCAGCTAAGCTGACTCACCTGGGGCGGAGGACTATAGCCCAGACGCACAGCTGGGGCCTCTTGTTTGCGCCTGTGTCCGTGCTGCCTTCTCCAGCCCTCCTTGCAGGCCCGGCTGTGACGCCCAGAGCCACTGGGCCTGCGTTCCTGAGTGTCCACACGGGAGCATGGGGTGCCTGACCTCCCACACCGACTCTGTGTGGAGTGCTCACTGCCTGCTGAGCGCTTTCTGTGCTGTGTAGCCCTCCTTGAGATGGGCCCGTGAGGGAGAGACGGTTTTCCCTGTTAGGAGGAAATGAAGCCCAGATAAATTACCAGAAGTCGAAGTGCAAACTTGTTCAGGTCGCCGAGCTGGCCGGAGGCAGCCCCGGGACCCACTTGCGCACGTGCTTGGAGCACAGGAGGGGAGGACAGCAGGACGAACGGCATGCTCCTTCCTCTGAAACTCTGCCCCCCACCTCTGCTGTCCTCCCCAGGTGGCGTCGAAGGCCGGTGTCTATGAGCTCCTCAACCAGCTTGGCTTCCCTGAGCTGGAAAGCGTGGAAGACCAGCCCTTCTCGAGGCTGCGCTGCAGGTGGCAAGAGCAGAGCCGCAACCCTGAGCCCTCCACCACTGGGGACTTGCTGTAGGGGCTTCCTCTCTGCCCCCTCCCACAGGGCCCTGCGCAGGCTGGGGGTGTCTGAGGTGCTCTTCACTGGGAGGCGCCCTGGGCCTTGCTGGCCTTGAGGAAACAGTTCCCCCACTTCCTGGAGAGACTGGGGTGGGGTTGGGAGCCTTTTTGGAAAGAGCTTTTTATAGGACATCGAGACAGCACAGTCATGCCTTGCAAACCGCAGAGGCGTGTGGACGGCCTCCAGGGAGGCCCGTGTGTGCACCCTGCAGACGGGCGGCATTCGGCCTCCAAGGAGCTCACGCCCCAGTTGCCAAACAGAGCTCATCGCCTCTTCTGTCCTCTTCGCCCCCTCCCAGATTGGCTGGGCAGCCCCTGGCGTGGAGCTGGCCCCCTGCCTTTCTTGCGCTGTTCCCCATGGCCTCTCCCCTTCCTGCTGCTGGAGCACTGCCTTCGCGCCCTGCCTGCCCGGAGTGGGTGGGGGCGGCGCTCTGGGTGGATTTATTACTTTAAAGGACAAACCTGCATGGCCCGGTATGGTCTGGCCGAGGCCTTTGCCTCGTCTTCCTCTCCGCTGTCCCCTTGTCCTGGGGCTGGCAGGATGGCGGCAGTTTCCCAAGGAGCTGGAACCATCAGGGAGTCCCTCTCAGCAGGAGGAGAGTTTCTAGAAGGTGGATGCAGCACAGTGGAAGAGGGCTGCTCTCTTTGCCTGGGAACCTGGGTGGGAGGTACTACAGGGGCCCAAGCCTGGGTCTGCAGGTCCCTCTGTCTGCCCGCCCAGCCCCAGCAGCCCCGGATGGCCCGGTGCCTGCCACCCTGCTGTGGCAGGAGCCCCAAGGAGTGTTGGATCAAGGATAGTTGCTGGGTGGCCTTGTGGATAGCGGAGTGTGCAAGAGTGGGCCAAGGATGAAGTGAGGGGCTCACCTGGATTCAGGCCATCCTCGGTGAGGCCCTTTGAGCTGCCTCTCGGTGGGAGCAGAAGAGGCCAGACCCTGCTGGGCTAGAGACCGCCGGCATCCACTCTGTCCACGCAGAGGAGGCTGCTTGGAAGAGGCGGCAAAGAAGTGCCAAGTTTGAGCTGAGCTTTGCAGCTCTTCCGGTCAGGGACTGGTGTTTGCTGAAACCTGGGAGCTGAACAGTGAGGAGGCTGTCTCCCTGGCCTGGCTCACGGGGGCCGGGGAAGCCTCTCCTTGGTTGGACTCGTGCACTTCCGCAGAAAAACGATGGACGTGTCACTGGTCACGATATCCGAAAAGGGGAGAAGACGATGAAGTTATTTGCATCTGCCCAGTATTGGCTGAATCCTTTTGCAGAACTACTGTATGTCTGTTCACTACATTTTCAGGTTTGTCGTCGTTTTTACTTTTATTTTTGCATGTATTAAAAGTTTTAATGTCTTTGCAGACAAGGTCTAGATGAGGAGTCAGAGGTCAGGGCTGAGCTGGGAGGGACGCTCTGTGTTCTCACGGTTAGCCCTGACTTTCAGCTGTGCTGGGACCACTGGCCGATCACCTCACCTCGCTGCCTCAGTTTCCCCATCTGTAAAATGGGAGAATAATAATTGCCTACCTACCTACCTCACAGGGGTGTTGTGAGGATTCATTCGTGATTTTTTTTTTTTTGTACAGAGCTATTATGCATTAAAACAGCTAAATGTGAGGTGCACCTGGTTGCCGATTTGTCTTCGGTGGGAGGCAGACCTTCTAGAACTGACACAACGTGCTGGGGTCCCTGCTCCTTCAGAGTAAGGGCGGGTGGGCAAAGTGAGTCGAGAGCACCTGCCCTAGCACTTCTGCTGCCTAGAGAGGGGTTTTTGCAGACATCGTGGCCTCCTTCACATCCCCAGCTGTGCCTTACCGGGTCACACTGGCTGCCGGGGCTGCCATGCTGAGCCCCTCCTGGAAGAAAGCAGCATCATCAGCTAATTCTCACTAAAATACAAAGGGCTGCTGTATCTAGGGAAAGTATGCAGCAAAGTGGAATTTGGGGCCTCTGAAGGAGGGTGGACCTCAGCCTCCACTCTCTCCTCCAGCCCCTGTGATTGATGGAACACAGTGTGTTGGGATATTGGCAAGTAAAGAGGCAGTGGGAAGGGGGAGGTTCAGAGAGCACTGACTCCAGGCCTCTCCCCAAACTCTTGCAGGATTAGGGAACCCTCTGGGTTGTAGTTCTCAGGTCAGCTGAGGGTGGTCAGAATGGAACCCAGAGCCCCCACTGCCCAGGGCAGGGGTTCTGAGCCTGGGAGAGAAGGCCTCCTGGGTCAGTTCCCAGTCCAGCAGGTGTGGAAGTTGTCTGCCCTGGTCCAAGGATGCTCCATGTGGCTCTGAACACAAGTCTAGAGCTGCGTGCACTGGGGTGTGAGTGTGTGTGTGGTGTGGGCAGCTCTGCAGTTCTATGCCTGGGATGGTCGCGCCTGGGCAGGGATGCATGGGCGAGGGGCTGTGCCCATGTGTGTGTTCCCCAGTTCCCCCAAGCCTGCTCTAGCCTGTGGGGGCATCTAGCACTTACACGAACAGTACTGACTCACATTTCGGTAGCTCCTGCCGGTCAACGGTATCTCTACCCTTCAATTGACAAGTTAATCCAGCACAGCAAAGGAAACAATCCACAGAGTGAAGAGACAGCTGACGGAATGCGGGGAGAGATTTACAAACCATGTATCTGATAAGGGGTTAACGTCCAACATATAAAAGAATCTTTAACCACTCAACAGTAAGAGAACAAATAACTCACGTTAAAAAATAGGCAAAGGACCTGAATAGACATTTCTCAAAAGAAGACATACAAATAGTCAACAGGTATATGAAAAAATGCTCAGTATTGCTAATTATCAGGGAAATGCAAATTAAAACCACAATGAGATACCACCTTACACCTCTTAGGATGGCTGTTATCAGAAAGACAAAAGGTAAGTGGTAGGGAGTGCAGAAAAGAGAACACTTGCGCGCTGTCAGTGGTATTGTAAACTAGTGCAGCCATTTTGAAAAACAGTATGGAGGTTCCTCAAAACACCAAAAATAGGGCTACCGTATGACTCAGAGATCCCACTGCTGGGTATATAGCCAGAGGATATGGAGTCAGTGTGTTGAAAAGATATCTGCACTCCGATGTTTATTGCAGCACTGTCCACAATAGCCAAGATATGGATCAACCTACGTGTACCTTAATGCACCAGTCCCCAACCTTTCTGGCACCAGGGAGCGGTTTCATGGAAGACAGTTTTTCCACGGACTGTGGGTGATATCTGAGGGGGTGGAAGGCGGAGCTCAGGCCGTGATGCCAGCAGTGGGCAGCGGCTATAAATACAGACGAAGCTTCGCTCGCTCCCCCACTGTTCACCCTCTGCTGTGTGGTCCCCGGTTCCTAACTTGCACGAAAGATGATGTTTCCACAGACTTGGAGGAGAGAGGGGTGGTGGAGCTCTGCAGCCTGGTCCCTAACAGGCCATGGACTGGTACCAGTCCTCAGCCCAGGGGTTGGGGACCACAGCATTAGTGGGTGAATGGATAAGAAAATGTGGTGTACATACAGAATGGAATACTATTCAGCCTTAAAAGGAAGGAAATCCTATCATTTGCAACATGGATGAACCTGGAGGACGTTGTTAAGTGAAATAAGCCAGGCGCAGAAAGACAAATACAACATAATCTCACTTCAATGTGGATTGGTAAAAAAAAGTTAAACTCATAGAGTAAAATGGTGGTTACGAGAGGCTGGCGGGAGTGGGGGGTGGGGATTGGGGGGGGACTGGGGAGATGTTGGTCAAGGGTCACAGAATTTCAGTTAGGAGGAAGAAATTCAAGACATCTATTGTATTAATATGTCATGTTGAGTACAATATAGTAACAATATAGTGTATGTTTGAAAATTGCTAAGAGAGTAGATTTTAAGTGTTCTCATCACAAGAAAATGGTAAGTATGCGAGGTAATGCACATATTAAGCAGTTTGATTTAGACTGGGCACAGTGGCTCACACCTGTAATCCCAGCACTTTGGGGGGACAAGGCAAGAGGATTGCTTGAGGCCAGGAGTTTGAGACAAACCTGGACAATATAGCGAGACCCTGTCTCTACAAAAAATTAAAAAGTTAGCCGGGTGTGGTGGCATGTGCCTGGAGTCTCAGCTACTCACGAGGCTGAGGCAGGAGCATCACTTGAGCCCAGGAGTTTGCGGTTGCTGTGAGCTATGATGATGCCACTGCACTCCAGCTTAGGTGACAGAGTGAGACCCTGCATCGAAAAAAAAAACAAAAACGTGATTTAGCCATTCCACAATGTATACATACATCAAGACATCATTTTGTATACCGCAAATATATACGATTTTTACTTGCCAATTAATTTTTTAAAAAGATACTTTATAATTTAGTCTGATATTTCCTCTTTGTTAATCTATATTAATGATGTTTTGATGTGTTCTTTGTTATGTCTGTTTCTTAAATACCAGTGTTTATTGCTGAATTATAGTCATAAAAAATGAATCAATATACGTCAAGACTTTAGCAGAGCGCCTAACACATAGTGCGCACACAGTTTAAGCCGGGCTTGCCTAGTCTCTCTCCCCAAGCCCTCCCCTCTGGGTGTGCAGGAGGAGTCCCCCACTGGCCTACACGTGTGGCCACTGTCATGTGGGCATTCTTGCTGCTTCCACACTTCAGACATCGCTGAGGCCTCCCCCACTTCAAGTGCCTGGGCTGTGAGGTGTCAGGTGGGACGAGCCCCTGGGTCTGTGCCCACTTGCAGCCAAGGGTCTGACTAGGTCCCCAGTTGAGCGTCTCCCTGTCTTGCTGCCCTGGTGAGCAGCATTAATGTGCCTGGTTCCCACTCCCTCAGGATGCATTCTCTCCTGGAGGCCCCCGGGTCTTCTGAGGGTCCCGCCACACCACTTTGCCCAGACCAGGCAGGTGTCAGCTGGGTCCCTGTGCAGGTAATGAGTGCCTGCAGTGTTCTGCACGTGTGCGAAGGGGAGCTATGCGCACATGGGCTGTGGGCAGTGATTCAGCAGGTCACTGCACAATGGGGCATCTAAACAGACCATGCACCGTGCTAGATGGCAGGGAGCTGTGGACAGGGATAGTGCTTCCTGGAGCCTGCGGTGTTGCTGGAACAACAGTGAACGAGTCATTCTCGTGAGATGTGGTTAGAGCTGGGATGGGGCAGGGTGGGGAGGACAGTGCCTTGAGGTAGATCAGCGATCAGAGTCTGCTGGGCCCCGCTCTCATTGCTCTCACGGAGCTCCCAGAGCAAGGAAAC